CAGATGTCAGGACCGCCACAAATTGAAAATCCCCAAGTCTCAGAAAACGGGTTGCTGTTTTAGAGGCTTGTCAGACATAAAGAATATATATATATATTCCAAAGAAATTTATCTTGAGCTACTATCTCAACTACGAAAGAGACCTAGCTGAATCAGGGTAGCTCCCAAATAGCCTAAACAGGTGTGTGTTTCATTTACTGTATTTTGGTAAATTTTTCCCTTGACCTTCATAAGGTAGGAACATGAAACTGACCCATCCTGACCCACATTTATATCTGAAATGCTAAATGCCATTATCAATTATTTTTGTATTGTAATAAACTTTTCAATTTATTCATTTCTATTATTTTTACATGTTTCACTAGGAAGCCAAGTACACAGCATTGAAAGGTGACTGTCTCTAAAAGGTGTGAGCAATTCTACTGGAACTGCTCCCTATTTTACCCTTTTCAAATTCTCACTTCCTCTGTGTCCCTCTACAAAAAGTTTTCTTATTCTTTAACTGCATTTTTTTTTGTTTCAGCTAGTTTCCTAAAAGTGGTAGTTTTAATAATTTTGTGTTGCCTTATTTTGAAAAAAAAAATGCTTCTGCTGTACTCCATATCTTCCTTTCAGGGGGAACTTTGATATTCTGAGGGAAGTGGCTTTGTCAAATGATTTAGGAAAGCTGCTACTTGACTGGATGGAAATGGGACATTTGTCCATATTGTCAAAACATGTCACAGAAGCTAGAAAACCTCTTGCATTTTCTACTATTTATCCTACTCCTCTTCCTCAATTGCAATTTACACTAAGTAGACATCAGCCACTCTCTTCTCTCTACAGCTGCAACTTGATGACTCCAAATATTGTTAAATTTAATCCTCCTGTTGACCCTATAAAGATATTTTTAAATACTTATTTTACAAATGAAGGAAATGAAGGTCAACAGTTAAACAATTATCTAAGATCTTCATGGTAGAAATATTGGGTTTTGCCAATCCAATGTTACCCTCAGGAAAGGACTTACTCCCTCATCTGCTTGGAGCATGGCCTGTGGCAGTCCTCTCCCAAGACTACACTCTCTTTTCAAGACAGCCACATTTCATGACTGGTTTCCAGGAACATGCCTTCTCTCAGAAGTAACCTGAGTGTCTCATGGGGTCAGTAAGCTCAACTTCCCCCATTGTATTTCTTTCCTTTCTTTTGTTGGGGATTGATTCCCAAAGCACTCCTTAATGAACCTCTTGCATGTGATTCTTCATCAGAGTCAACTTCCCAGGGAACCCAGCCAGTGGCAGTCACACAGCTAGAAAATAACAAGTGACACTTGGACCAGAGAGTATGAGCAGCTGTGGCCTTAACCCACTAGACTGTAACACCTTCTACGATGAACCACCTTGCTTATCTTTGTATCCCTGGTACTAAACAATGTTACTCAGTATTTGTCATTTCACCTTTTAACATGTTTTTTTGATTTGGTGGTCATGGCCATTCATTTACTATTTTCACCCTGAAGAACTTTACAACCTAGTCTGTTGCCTGAAGGGTCAGACGAATTATATTCTAAAATTCATGATTTTGGGATCAAGTCAATAAATGGTACTTTAAACTTTCAGTACATAGACATACCCTGACTTTGGGCTTTGTTTCATTTATCAATACTTTTAGAAACTTAAAATTTTAGCAATTATATTTTTACTCCTAAAACACAAGCTTGACCCAAGTCTTAATATTATTTTACTAAATAATATAAAAAGCATCATTAAAAAGCAAAATGTTTTAGGAGAAGAATCAATGAGCTCACAGGAGCATGATGATCCTGGGGCTACAGGCAGTGTACATGTCACAAGGTCAGCTTCCCCACCCTTTAAAATCCGCACTGACTGACCAAGCCCTCCAAGCCACCTTGGAGAGCCTTGGGCTGTGGCAGGGTGCTCTGGTCCCGCCAACAAACATGTACCCAGGAGAGAAATAATGAAAACAACTCAATTTTCTTTAAATCTTAGCTCTAAATTATGGTCTTTAACTCTTCTATCTTGACTAAGAACTAAATACAAAACGGCTAACTTTTCAAATAGGGATTGCAGGGGAGACCATTCTCAACCACAGGTGAACTGTTATTGGCTTAATTTTTTGGCTCAGGTTTGCTTTCTTTCTCTGCAAGGAGGAGGAATGTTCTTTTTAAAAAAAGAAAAAAGAAAAAACTGTCAAAGATAGATAATTAATAAATAAATAAATAATAAAATTGTAAAGCCCTATCAATCTGGCCCAGTTTCCAAGGTGTTCATTCCACAGCTTTAGGCCTATGCAATTTTAAATTGTCCAAATTAAAATAACCTAGGAGAAATACCAGTAGAGAAAGGAAGTCTAATTCCCCACTTTGAAGTGCTCATGCATTTCACGATCTGGCTCTCTGATGCCCTCTAATTTCCAGTTGTCTGGAGCTTGGGATAGAGGTCATGAATAGAAATATAACATTTTTTATTAAACTTCAATCCCTACCCTCGCTCAGGGTAAAATATTTAGTACATATTGATTAACTAAATGAATAAACCCATATATGAATTCTAAGTCATTCCCAATAAAGTGATAGTTGAAGCTATAATTTAAAATGAGGAATATAGAAGGAAGAGACAATACCTAAATTATGGAAAATGTGAAAAAGGGTCAGTTTGTGAGGCAAGAAGGAGACTGAGTCATCCAAAAAGAAAGAAAAGCAAGAGTTAGGATTATGGAAAATGGAAATACAGGACTGTTATGGAGGACAATGAGTAGTAGACTTTCAAAGAGAACATGACATATTGTATTAATATAGAGACTATATGTAATTTGTACAAAAGCATATGTAAGCTACATACACACATTTTTATCTTTACTTTTTATCCTCACCTGAGGACATTTTTTCATTGCTTTTAGAGAAAGGAAGGGAGAGAGAAACATTATTGTGAGAAACATCAGTCAGCTGCTCCTGCCCATCCCCTCCGCCCCCACATACGCTTCCCACCAGGGATCAAACCCACAACCGAGGAATGTGCCCTGACAAGGAATCAAACCCACAAATTTTTGGTGTATGGCACAGTGCTCTAACCGAGCCACACTGGTCAGGGCTACATGCATACATTTTATATATATATAGAGATATTACATATGTAAAAACAAGTAACCACATGCATGTCATCCTTTCAGAGAAGACTGAATTGGAGTGGTTTTTGGCTGCTGAAAGAGAATGTGTAATCCTCCTGATATCCTAAATAATAGTGTATATGTAACCTTCAATGGTTTGTGAATACTAGAAATTTTCAGGAGAATCATTCATAATCAGAGGTATTGCCTACTTGCTCAGTATTTGGACATCGCTCTTCTAAATAACAACTTCACAGCTTTGCCCAAGCTGTACTTCCTTAATGTATACTAATTCACTTTCTTCTGAAAAATTGCCCAAATGCCTTGTATATAGTGCAATAAAACTTCCAGTAAGCCAAGAAACAAATGATGCAAAGTGAATTGGAAGTCGGAAGAGGATTTTTAGCTCTTTTAAGAAATGCTTTCTCCAGAAGAAACATTAATATCTGTCTTAAACTAAGAGGACAGAAGAAAGGAAGTGAGATGAAATTTGAATTGACTGATATTTCATCAATTTTTTCCCTAGGGCAGTAATGTAGTGGTACCAAGATATCCTTATTAGTCTTAGCCTCTCTGGGTTTTTTCCTTTTTTTTTTTCTTCTAGTTTGGATTGCTAACTTTGACACATTATCCTATTTGTTTTCGCAAGACACTTACCATTGTATTGTACAAGCTATTTGCTACTCCAATCTCCACTAAGTAAATCAGTGCTCAGACTCCATGTTTGCGAAGAATGAGAAAATGCTGCAGTTCAGATTTAATTATTCTCAGTTGAGGAGTGGACAGCTATTGTTTGAGGTAGTGTTTTCAGGCGTGAGGTGGCCAACATCCATCCCCCCCTTCTTTGAGTAGGAACACCTGGATTAAAAGCACACCTCTCCCCCGGCCTGTCTCAATTCAGGAGGGTCCTAGTGGCTGGATCCAGAGGTAGTTCCTTGAGCCAAGCTTGGCCAATCAAATATTCTGGCTCTGGAATTGACTCTTGAGTAGAATAATAGCTGACTCACTCCACCCCGCACCCCCCCCTCCCCCGACACCTGGCCGACTACTCAGAAGGCAGAGTGCCTCAGATCTGGCTGCTGTGAGCTCCAGAGCCTCTCTGGTCTCCAATTTTCCTCATTTTTGCATTTTACACATTTCCAAATCATTTTTTAGAAATCCAAGTTTGTCTCTTAAGTTACACTGAATGTGTATCTGACAGCAAAAATGAAGGGAAAAGCCTAACCGATATATTAGAAAACATTTTATTTAAAAATACAAAACACAACGGAGTAAATAAGGTATTACCCAAAGTAATGTCCAACCCTCAGGTACCATGTAGTGTACTGAGACCAATCTTTAGCAAACATTCCTGAATTTACAACTTCCAACAAAAGCTTTCCCATTCTAAGGATGCCTTGCTGGAAACACCTTTAGATGTCTGATTAATACCCTTATTCCTTTTAATACCGTCTTCAATCTAAGGATAACTTCCTTTTTATACCTTTTCTGTCTCGTGTTTCATTCTCTTTACTGTCAACAGAGATGCAATATTGTGATTTCATTTCAAAGCATTTTTCTTTCCAAAATAAGATGTGACCTTTTGAAAAATTTCTTTTTAACAATTTATCATTTTAGTACTTTAAATCATCTAAGCATTCATTTGATAATTGATCTTCTTGCCTAAGACCAACAATAGAAATATAATGTGAGCCATATATGCAATTTTAAATTTACAAGCAGCCAAACTCCAAAAAGGTAAAAACAGGTGAAATAAATTTTAATGATACATTTTATTTAATCCAATACATCTAAAATAATATTTCAACATGAACTCAATATAAAAGCGTTAATGAGATATTGTACTTTCTTTTTATTCTAAATCTTTGAAAGTAAAAAATTTGGGTATCAAGGTTTTATTTTAAAGATCTTATTTATTTTTAGAGAAAGAAATATTGATCTGTTGCCTCTCCTACACTCTGACTGGGGACTGAACCCACAACCCAGGCATGTGCCCTGACCAGGAAATGAACCTGTGATTTACAGCTTCGCAGAGCAATACCTAACAAAATGAGCCACACCAGTCAGAGCCGCGGTTTTTTTTAGTTGTTTGGTTGTTGTTACTTGTTAGCTTTTATATTCCTTTAAGTATTAGAGGTTTTTGTCCCAGGATGCAGTTAGGTGGCTTGGAATCATTTCATTCTTTCGAAGTAAGTTTTGAAGTCTGGGTGGACCCAGGCAGCCTTTAGTCAAGGCATAATTTCACCGCACTATTGAAGCAATGGATGCCCCCTGTATCACAAGGCCTTTCCACAATGGCCAGTGGGAACAGAAACTGTTCCTGGCCCTGTGTGAGCTTTGGGATTGATCTGCCTACTTCTCCCTGAAGCTGGTTCTTCTGGGCCTCAGTAAATTTGAAATACACGTATGTAGATCAGTCCTTAGCCAAAGACTTGCAGAGACCCCTCTGCCGATCTGATCTCCAGAATGCTCGCACGTGCTCTCTCTCCACCTCCAAGACCACCAGGGTCTCTTTGAATTTCCCTCCCCTGTGAAGGCAGTGAGCTGGGGCAGTGAGGACTCATTTTAATTGGTTTCTCTCTCAGGAATCAGTCTGGTGCTATCTGTTGTCCAATGTCTGGAAACTGTTGTTTCTTGTATTTTGTACAGTTTTGAACATAGAAGGTCAATAAAGTTCCTGTGCTGGCCCAAAAAAATGTAAAAACTTAATCTCCATTCATGTATCAAGTATTTCCTGAATGCCTACTGTGTACAAGGAACTGTACAGGGTGCTAGGGATACCCTACTGAACTGAAAGAGATACAGCTCATGCCCTCATGATCACCACAGACTGGCCAGGAAGAGCAGCAATAATTGAGTAATAATTCAAGTAAATATGCAGTGTGAACCACAACAGGTGACAGGATAGAAAGCAGAGAGCGATGGACTCATATAACAGGGAAACCCAAAATAGTCTGTGCATCAAGAAAAGTTTCCCAAGATAACAAACATTTTAACTAAGACTTAGGAAATAAGATTTGGTACCTGTGTTGTGGAAGGTGAGAAGACCACTAAAAGAACAGCATAAGTAAAAGGCCTGTGGCAAGATTGGACCGTTAGAGATCAAGTCCAGCCCTTAGTTTTCCCAATGAAGACAAAAAGGTTTAGATTTCATGACTCCTCCTTACTTTGCTAGTGGCAGGGCAGGGCTGGAATCCAGGACCTGATCTCCATGTGCAGTGTTCCCTCTATTTCACTATGTTGCTAAGCAAATGCAGGGGACACTAGAACATTTTATATAGTGAAACTGTCATTTTATGCTCCATGACATATTTTGGGCAATACATAATTTTGTAATATACTTTCATTTAAAAATAATTATGGCCAAAATATCACCCAGGATATACTTCTAACTACCTATATGTTAATGTATTTACAAGAAATACTCTGCAAAGCATAAATTAATGAACAAGTGAGCACAGGACAGAAAAGTGTGAACATTCACACATTCAGCCACCAAAGCAACAGCGTAACAGCCCCAGGCTGTCACACAGCTTCCCAAGCAGCTGAATCACACTCAGGTGATCCATACTCAGCAGTGTGAGTTCCTAGTGCTTTCAGACATTCTGGGAAATGCACCCACTGCCCCATTCCAAGCTTAACTGGCATAATAAATGTCAATTAAAAATCCTTTAAGACTTCAAATGACAAAACTCAAGTGAAACTATTTACAGATTTGCACAGGACAACCCCACATGACGTCTCTCCTACTAGAGACACAGTGTATTTCCATCTACTTGTGGGTACCATATCCAGTGACATGGACACACGGCACACTTGCACTTGCATAAAACAGAAAGTCATTTTTCTAGCTATCCTAGACTCATTGTTCTTTAATGGCTTATAAACCTTATATGTTTTATATGTTAACAGATGTCCATTTCTTGTCAACAAATAGAGAGAGAGCACCAACTGTGTTCCAGGACTGGAATGCAGTAGTGAGCAAGGCAGAGGCCCTTCCCATACTTGCAGAGAGGTCCTCCAAGATGCCACCAGGAGTCCCTTTGCATCCCTGCTTCTGTCTGGCATGACTCCTTTCTTTAACTTTTACTTATAAGGCTTAAAAGGCAATTTACTCATCCAGTGTAAATGTGAAACAGGGTGTCTGTTAACTTCTGAACTTGGCAAAAACACTTTTTTATGTCCTATGTAGAGGTCATTAATTTAGATGTCAAAAAATTCCATTTTCATTTAAGTAGCCCAAGCTGCCAAATGTTTGATGTCATCATCTTCTCCATCTGCCCTCCTAGAAGAGGCTGGAACATAAAAGGTATAAAAATTAGTAATTGGTGACATTTACACTTTAGCATAAAAAACAGGTATGAGTTATGTCTACAAAGGCATACAAGGGGAGTCCCCCCCAAAACTGGAATTATCCTCTGGAGAGTGGGCCCCTTGTAGTACAGGCTTCCCTGACTAGGTGAGTGTTCTAGGAACCCCTCTGTATCAGTGCACCAGCTGGCATTGTCGTGAGAGGCTGCGTTCAGCTTCAGTGAATTTTTTTTAAGACTCTTTCAATGTGTTTGCCCATTTCATGATGGGTGATTTACAAATGCACCTGTCCACACCACGCTGAGTGTTCAGCAGTTTTTGACCAAAAACAACATGACCCCCAGGCCCCATGATCCCTAATCATTCAATCTCGCCCCAAGCAACTTTATTTTGTTTCCCCAGGTGAAAAAAGCCCTCAAAGGTAAATGTTTTGCCTATGTGAAAGAGGTGAAATAAAAAGTTTATTAGCTCAACTTTCCTTATCATATGCCTTCTACAATAACTACAATTCCACTTCACCTCAAACCACCATTTTGGATTCAAAGCTGCTGCTTGATACTGACATTTCGTAGATGTATGGTAGAAGCACTAAAAGGTACCAAAATTAATGAATTCAAAAACTGCTTTGAGCAGTGGAAAAAAGTCTTGAAAGGTATATTGCCTCAAATGGAGAGTACTTTGAAGGTGACTGAAGTTTAAACATGTAAGAGTAAATACACAATTTTTATACATAAATTCCATTTTTGGGAGGACTCACCCTTGTATATTTATGGAATAAAAAATAACTGCTAACTGAGAACTAGATCAGGCTATTATTGCAGGCAACTAAGTGACTACAGGTAGTGGAGGTAGGGACCCACCTGCCCGGGGCCTCTGTGCAGTGGACGATGTGCCCCCCATTCTCCCTGGCATTCTGTCTGTCTGTGCTGGGAGGGAGGAAGAAGGCACAGCTGGAAGCCGGATATTTGTCATCTTCTTATTTAATTCTTCCTGCTCCAGTTCTTCCAGTTCTGCCATCAACTCATCCTGATCACAGGAGAAAGAAAGAATTATAGAGTTAGTGTTTCAAGCAGTAGGTTTCCTCAAACACAATAACAAGAACATCTGCTACCCAATTGATATGTGAGAACCCAGTCAAATGGAATATTTATGTTAAGACTAAGTCTTTTTTGCAACACTGAGCAATGATTAAAAAATGAATATTTGGGGTTGTGCAAATTTGTCATAGCTAATCTTATAAATACTTCAGTAAACAGTTATTCAAGTAATTTGTGCTAGCTGAATAGAAAACTTCCAGTTTCCAGGAAATTTACACCTTGCCTGTCTCTTTTCCAATGCATTTTTTTCTTTTCTACTGTTAAAAATTAAGAACCTGTGAAACCTTAACTGGAGGAAATATTTTCATTTGGGTTAATGTTCTTAAAATTAAGCAACCATTATAGCAAAAATTGTAATGTACAGAAATTAAAAAGAAACAAAGATACTATGATTCTTTTGTTAAGTTACCCAAGCCAATGTGTGTTTGGGTTAAGTAAACTTCAACCCAAGGTAGGTACACTGTATTCTTTTCTTTTAGCAACAGTCTCAGAAGGTCTGGTTTAATCCTAAACTACTCTGTCCCAAGAACCTTAGAGATGCAAAACTAGTTGGAGACTTTAAGAGTATAAGTCACCTTATGACAGATAGGACATGACTTGTGATAGTCCGGATCTACCTGGTTCCATGTGTTCTCAGGTAGAGTTCAACCCCTGAGGGAGGCTCGGAGTCTAAACTAAATTTGGCATCATTAGAATTCTGAAGTTGTCCCCACTACGAATGACCTAAGACACTCATATTTGATCAAGGAAAGTCTTCATCTATTCATTCATAATTGAACAAACTGATTAAGAGCTCACTCCTGGCCAGGTACTAAACTCAAACCAGGGACTAAAAGTTCAACCAACAGTCCCTACCTCAAAGTAGCTTATTACTGAATGTGGGAGAAAGGCACACAAACAAATATTTATACCATATTAAAATGACAGTACTAATACTAAAGACCAAGAAAGGAGATAGTTAAGCCAACCACAATATTTCATCAAGCCAGTGTGTATTAGGCAGCAAACAATGATTTTCTGACAACTGTTCTATCTACCTTGTGAAAAAGGAAAAAAAAACATGGAAGTGCATGTGAAATAGTGTGGTCAGTGTAATTGTGTGCTCTATGGTGTCCACAGTCTATCTAAATGGAGTGTCTTCAGAATGAATACTCTGATGTTCTATTTCTGCTCACAAAACAATCAAGAAAAAATGCAGCAAATGCAGGAAGAGCAGAACCCACTATGCTACACTGGGTGTGCGCCCAGAATTACCTAGTGTTTGGTAATTATCAACAGTACCAAAAAGATATTTTCTTTAACAAATAGAATGACAGAATAATCATCTCCTCCCTCATTTTCAAACTCCAGGTACCAACCACTTATTCATTCATAAAAGGATTTTAGAATTTAAGAAATTTTAGAGATAACCTAATGAGCCAGTAATTTTCATTTTATAGATGAGAAAACAAAGGGTGAGAAAAGGGACTTATACAAAGTTTAATAATAAAAGTCACAGCCCAAATATCATAAGCCCAGAGCTGTTGTCTCTGTCACAGTCTTCTCTATTGCTATTGATATTGGTGGTGGTGTTTTCTACAATCCTTTAAGCATATAAAAACCATCCTTGGCTCACAGGTCATACAAAAACAGGTCATGGGAAGAATCTGGCCTGAATGCTGCGCTACACCATTTTTAAAATTTCTTGACACCAATTCTCATTTTCTAGGGTTCCATGGAACCACGCCTTCCTCATTAGATGTTTTGTTTTTAATACCAGGTAGGTGTAGAAAGTCAGAGCCTTCACCATGCTACCCTGAGAACTGGAAACATTTCTAAGTCTGTATGAGTATGTGTGCTTTGAACAGAACAACTGAAATTCACAGCACAGACACCACCATTCTAAAGAAAGTCTGTCTTATTGGACTGATGAATGCAAATGGAATGTGTGTGTTAATAATGCCCATCCACATTTATTTTGTTTCACAGCCTGAGTAATAAACAGAGGCAGCCTAACCTCTAATTTAACAACCACAGAGCACAAGACGTCTGTTCCTTACAGAGTAACAGTCTGTTTTGTTTTGCACAGATGTGCAAGCATGCTATTCCTCCTTGTAATGGGCTATTTAGGCTTCCACCATTAAAAGTCACTAACTTTACATAATCACAGGCTGCTTTTTCTTAATAGCTAGAAACTTAATTAGGAGGCTGTTTGCCAAACTGTATTAATCTTTCCTTTAAATCAGAGCTACCAACACTTCATTTCCCTCTTAAGTATGTTTCTAGTAAGTATCATTTATTCTTTGATGGTACTTAAGGAAATACTGAGGAGCCTTCTTAGCTGTGTTCTTAGTAGCTTGCCAGGAAGTTGTCCTTTTAAGCAGCTATAACACTTCATTCTTCATACCATGTTACCCACCTCATCAAAGTCATCACCAAATCCAACCCGCTGAGAAAATGCTTCTGAGATTTCTTGGGCAACATCCTGTTGCTCTGTGATCTCTTGCATCAAATCATCTATTTTGTTCAGATCCCTGGGAAATATTTTGTTAAAATATTTTAGAATTTTACTTTAAAATTACGAATTTGACTATCTCTCATATAAAAGAATGAGTTAATTTCATATGAACTCTTAGCTACTTCCATAGGATAAAAAAACTTCATGATGATAATATTCCTCAACTTTAAAAATAATTTGCATTTAAAAAAGAATAATCCTGTACAGGCACCGACATATTAAATAACTGCTACATTTGGGAATCACTAAAGAGCAAATTATCTTATAATTTACAATATTTGTAGACCTATTTTGAAATTTTGTCTGTTAGGGCATATGTAAAATCTAAATATATGCTGCTGTGTATCAACTCTGCAGGGAGTGGCACTGTGGACCCCTGAGGACCACCATGGCTAAGATTAGCCAAGGCAGCTTTCAGCAGGTGCCACCTGTCAGCAGTCTTTCATAGAAGCTGTCTGGAACAAGAGCACTATTTTCCAGAATGCCTAGTTGCTCTGAGATCCTCACTCCCTGAAGTCCATCCCACGCCTGCTGCTGTCCTTGAAGATGACAGGTAAGGGCAGGATTAGGTCTAGGAAGCTCTCAGAAGAATCAGCAATGTCAGCAAAGGAATCTGGGCAGCTGCTTCAAAGGAGGTTCCTAGCACCTGAGCCCCACTGGCCCCTAACCACCATCCTAAGCTGCCAGGGTCTGGATGGCAGGATCTGGACTGCATCTCTAGGGCCCTGTCTGTGAATTGTCCCTCCAGCTCTGAAACTAGGCCACACTGATTGGATACCAGAAGAGTCACAAGTTTCCTCATTATTAGGCAATTTAAACACTGAAATTTTGATTCCCAGTGGAATAAATCTTTTGAAAGTTTCCCAGAGTCTGTATGTGGAAAAAGCTGAGTACTTTGACATATTTTCATGTAGCAATGAACAAGAACATATTTTAGCATTCTCTTACCACTCCAGTTCTTATACTTAAAACAAATATATAAGGAATTTATTTTTTAAAGGGAATATGGGAAAGGTGCAGTTAAAGTTTGGGCCTAGGGGTGAATTTTTCTCAAAAGGAGCACAATGAGATGATGTTGCTAAACTACTTGTGATTTTGTGATAGATGTTCGCACCAGTTTATAGCAGTGACAGAGGATTTTGACTCTGATGGTGAATGTAATGATATTCCCAAAGCTGTCAAAATGATGGTGGATTGTCAATGAATTATCAAGGCAAGGAAATATCAGCAAAGAGGTCTTCAGTGAGACCAGCCTCTCCCAGGCCCAGCATTCCCCAACCACGGAAATGTCTCTTCATTGCTCAGGTGTTCACTGCTCGTACGCATGGTGGTTCCAACTTCAGGTCCCAGGCACTGACTTCCTAGTGTGAACGTAAAGCAAATTGTCACCAGCACCACTACCACTATGAATAGTGATTATTGATTGCTTACTTTGTACCAGGAACTAAATGCATTCTATCTGGATCTCCTTAAATCTCACAATAACCACAAATGCTATTATTACCTCCAATTTACAGACAAAGACCCTGAATACAGCGGAAACGAAGTAGTTTGCCCAAGGACAGCTGGCAGTGGAACTGAGATGATAACCAAGAAAATCTGACCCCGAAATGCATGTCCATCACTATTATTATTCTACATTGATGTTCTCATGCATTGGTTAGGATCAGAATCATCTGGGGAACTTGGTTAAAAACAGAAAGGCCCAGTCCTTGCCCTTCTTCAGCATGTGTTCTCCTTAGTAGCTTGCCAGGTGTTTTTGAATCCCCCTGAAGTTTGGCAACCACTACCCTATAGTTTAACACACTCAATGATGCTGACATTTAAACCTTTTAAAAATTATATAATGAAAATTTACAGAGGGAGTGTCAGGTAATTGTGAGGCACTTGGGAAACCTCAAGGGCAAAATGAACGTTCTTCATGTTTGCATGTTTTTTGTTTTATTTTATGCCACTGTAACTTCTAATCTTTCTCTGAGGGACCATTCTGTTCTGACATATCAAAGAGCCTCAAAAGGACAAGCCCATTCCTGCTGAAATCACTCTTTGAGGGCATTTATGACTCAGAGGGAAGGAAGGTCACTCACATGTTTTCATGAATTGCTCTCATCGCCTTGGCCGCCAAGCTCATGTTCCTCAGCACCTCAGCATTGGTGTATGAGTTCTCCAGGGCCTCTCTCTGGAACTCAAGTGTGGACAGTGTGCCATCAATCTGAGTGAGCTGCTTCTCAAACCTCTTCTTTCTCTTCAGTGCCTGCAATGCAGCTAAATAAGGGAGAAGCCTCATTTATAAGGAGAAATCTCAATCACTTACTTGAGAGACATTCATTCAGCACCGACTGGGGACTCTTGACGTTGTTGGCACCTACAGACAAAGAGGAGACCAGATGGAGCAGAGAAACTCCAGGGTGAGAGCCTGCCCTCAAGTGCCTCCACGGAGTACCATGCCCTCAAACATTTCCAATGGTATTCTTTTCTTCCAAAGATCTGACAAGTGTCAAATGAAAAGTCCACTTCCACGTTCTATAAAATATACCACAGAAATTGGATTTTAAAAAATAGTAAGTATAAAAATGTGAATAAAAATGCAATAGGAAAATAAATCTTGAGAGGAAAAAAGAAATTTAATGACTGTTTATTCTACCCCTGCTTCCTCATTTCAAAGACAAGTTAATCAAGACCTGGAGAAGTTACATGACTTGCTCAAAGGTAAATAGTGAGTGGCTGTCCAAAACCCAGGATACCAGGCCGCATGTCTTGGTCTGAAATGATTATGAGATGGCCAGTAAGGTGACATCTTTCCATGAGCACATATGAAACCACTGCTGCTAGAGTCACAGGCAAGGATTAGCTGGTGAGAGAAAAGAGTGTTGCCTTCAGAGAAATGATATCTAAATACCCAGCCATTAGCACTTTAACAAAATAACCTTATCAGCTTCACTCAGAAATCACAAAACTAAACAGTTCTTCTAACTATGGCACCTTGGAAGGCACCCAAAAACAGGCCCTAAAATGTGAGTTGTGATAAGGCATTTAGAGAGAATGCAGGGAAAGAGCAGCAGAAGAAAGTTACTATTAAGATAATTAAATGGAATTGGCAAAAGAACTTGAATAGGTTAATGGTTTCAAAGTGAAACATAGTTATTGCAAAAGATTTCTAAGAGAAGGTTCTTTTCTAACTCAGTTGTGGTCAATTTTTTCTTGCAATTACAATAGGTTTGGTTTTTTTTTTTTATTCCAATGCTTTTTGTTTTGATGCACAGAAACTCATAGTCATTATACTTTCTTGTTCAGTTTTACTGGGGATCAATATGAAATATTACTCTGTCCTGTTAATCCTTTTTGCCTTAAATTCCATTTTGTTTTATATTTAAATTAACATTTTCACTTTCTTTTTGTTATAATTTGCTTGTAATCATTTTATAGGGACCTCTATTTCAAGAATATTTTATATTTGCTCTTTTTTGGTATACTTATTACAGATAGCATACAGCTGGATATTTATGTCACTGTTTTTAACCCAGTGAGATAGTCTCTATCTTTAAATGTAACATTTTAACATTCTTCTTTATTGTAATAACTATGTTATGTAATATGGTCTTTTTACTGTCATCCTTTTGTGTTTTCTTGCTTTTATGTAGATTGATCAAATAGTCCTTGTACATTTTCCCCCTTTAATTTGTTGGACAGTTGCCTATACTAAATTTATTCTCCTAATGAATATCCTTGTATTTAAATATACACACATAATTAAACTTAAGTTTCTATCCATGTTTAAAATCCATTAGTATCTGTAATTTATTGTTCCCCAAAAAATTCCTTTCCCTCCCCAAACCTTCTAATGTTTCATTAAAATAATCTGCAATTTTATTAGTTCCAGATCATTACTAGTTGTTTTTTATATTTTTAATTTTTAAGGAAACTTTTCTTAGCAATTACATTAAACTTGATGGACATAATTTCAACAGTTATTTGCACTCAACTATAGTGTTTGCTGACTTAGTTCCTTACTATTGCTTCGGTATCCTACATCATTTTTTCTGGGTTTTTTTTATTTTTACCAAAATAAATCTTGAATTTTTTTTCAGAAAAGGTAAAGTCTCTAAACTTCTATAGTTTATAAACTCCTATAAACTCTTCAAATGTCTTTATATTGCTTCAAATTTGAATGATAGTTTGAATTTTTATGGAATTTGGGGTTCAAAATATTTTTAAAATATGAAGACAGTATTCTATTTTCATTGGAGAGCCAATATGTCAAAAGTTTGATAATAATATTCTTCTCATCCCCTTGTAAATTATCTGTTTGCTTGTTTCATCTCTGGAAATGTTTAAGATCTTCTTTTTCACCTTGGAATTAGGAAATGTTATGAGTATAGGTTTAGGTATATGCATTCTTTTTCTTTCCTCAAGTAAACATTCACTGTGTATTTTTATTCTGAAGAGTCAAATCTTCACCCTGGCTAGTGTGGCTAAGTGGATTGAGTGCTAGCCTGTGAACCAAAGGGTCACTGGTTTGATTCCCAATCAGGGCACATTCCTGGGTTGTGGACCAGGTCTCCAGTTGGGGGCATGCGAGAGGCAACCACACACTGATGTTTCTCACTCTCTTCCCCTCTCTAATAAATTAAATAAATTAAATAAATAAATAAATAAATAAAGTCAAATCTTCACCTTATGGAAACTATATTCTTTAATTTGTTATTACTTCTTTCCCCTCCATTATTTTTGTCCACTTTCTTCTGAAATCCCTGCTCATTTTTATATTATTATCCATACCATGACCCTGCCCAAACCATTCTTTTTTTCTATTTTGAAATTCCTATACAATGGATGTTGGATTCCTTAGGTCTATCCCTGAGTCTATTAACATATCTCTCTTTTTATTCTATGTTCTTGGAGAACTCCTTAACTTTATATTCCAGATCACTAACTAGTCTTCATCTCCATTTGTTCTTTTTTTACCCTATTTATTTTTAATTATACTTTTAATTTCTAAGAACTTTTTTCTTCTAGCTGTTCACTTATATGACAACCATTCTTGTCTTATAATGCAATAGCCTCTGGAACCTCCTCTGAAAATGCTGATAAAAGTTATGTCCTCAACATTTTTTTATTTCTTACATTATCTCTTTTGCTTGCTTATCTTGATGCTTCTCTTTCATGCAATTAACTTTCCTCAAAATTCTTCTGATCTTGTATTATAGATTCATATGTATAAATAAAAGAGTAGAATAGTTATTACGAGTAGATGTGCCTCTTGTAATTACTTAAGTGTGTTCCCCATGTGGCCTCTCTCTTGAAAGTGAAGGCTACCTACAGCTCTGGAGAAGTGAACGGGGTGCACCAGAAAACAGGCTGCCTGTTTTGGGCAGGGAATAAGTAGACAGGGTGGGGGTTCCTACAGAGCCAAAGGAACTCTTTAATTTGGGTTGTGGACACTTCTCTAAGTGGTACTTTCCTTCCCTATCCGTCCCTGCCCTGTGGACTGTGGAGGCTCTGCTCTGCTTCTCTCTCCAGATATAACACGACAGTTTAAGTTCTTGCCGAACAGCACTTATACTTTATTTATAGGACAGTAATATTTGTTTAGTAACCTTTCCTTTAGGAAAGAACAATCTTTTTAAAGTTACCTGGCATAAAGGCCTTCCTACACGCTCACTCTGCAGAGAGGCCCATTACATTAATGACCAGAGTTCTGTGAGGGTTTTCTGCTTAGGTAGGGAGAATGGCCAATGGATGCCCCATCCCCCTGTGATAACACCCTGCCTGTGGTCCTGTGGCTACTGTTGCATTTATCAAACTGTATTATAATTACTTGTAAAATCTGTTCCACTCCTCCTCTCCTACCCTAATTATAAATCCTTGGAGGCAAGATTCTATTCCCCCATTTTCCCAGTCCCTAGCACATGGCTAAGAAGATACATAAAAAAAACCAGCACTGATTGAGTTTTGGCTGTATGCCAAGCTGATGTGCTTCATGTGCATTATGTGACTTATGTCATCAGTGCTCACAAACTCCAGGAACAGAAATTATTACTGGCCTGTTTTACAGAAGATGTGTTGGGAAATATCCCATCTGGTTTCAGGAAATGTAGCCCCCCGACAGGCAAGAGGACCCCAAGGCTGGAGATGAGCAGGGAGGCCTTGGGAAAATAGGCCACTGAGGAGACAAAACCTGTCCCCCTGGCAGGGGAGTAGCCCCTGCCTCCCTCACCTCACCCTGCTTGACCCTGGAGCATGGCTGGTTAGTAAATGACAGGTAAGACCTCTCTATGGAAGGGGCAACCTAAGACAGGCACAGCAACAATGGGCATCAGGGAAGAACTTGGGGGACACGGAGAAAAGGCAAAAAGACCCTCATCCCTTGGCTTTGATATGACAGGGGTCCTCATTCTGTCTGAAAGAAGTCTCCTTATCTCTTGGTAGCTCTGATCGCCCACCTGGCTCAGGTTTGAAACAATACTGGAGATGGCCCTAAACTGGATCAGGTGGTTCCCAGGGGAAATCAGGCCTAGAAGTAAATTCTTTGAAGTATGTTTTGTTTTTCCCTCAAAAGCTATGATAACGAGCTCATGCTGGGAAGGAAATTTACATTATTCGCAGACCCTGACCCTAAACCCTTTGGTGCTCTTATATTTACGCTCTCATGTTTACTCGTCTCCTCTTGGACCCATGTAAAGCAATGTGTTTCTGCCATTTTTTGTCTTCAAAATATCATCTATTGTCTGTAAACATTAACATACTGCTGTAATGAGATCACCTGTACATTCCTACTACCTGGCCCCATTGATAACCCTTTCAATAAAGGGCACTGGACACAGGGGCTCGGGGCCTTCTCCACTAGAAGGAAGAGTCACCCCTTTCCCTGGCAGACAAAGAAATGTCTAGAATGACTTATTGTATTTCCCCCATCTGTGATGACCCCGGGATGCAGACTCTGCGGGACCAGAGTTCACGCTCCCTCCCTCAGCTGGCACCTGAAAAGGGACCTGAAGAGTCCATCTCAAATATGAAATGAATGAACATTAAATGGATAAATTTGGTAACTTTGTACACATATTATAATGATAACATGGTTCAATAGAAAAAGTATGACCTTGAGGGACAGAGTGTTGATCCTTCTCCCCTAACTTGGTAGGTGTATGTACTTGGCTAAACCATTTCCTTTCTTTAAGCTTCAGTTTGCTGTTCTGGAAACAGGGATGTAATCCCCATTAGGCTGGGTGATTTTTAAGAATTAATGATAATTTATGGAAAATACT